AGTCCTCAGGATGATTTTAAAGCACATGGTTTATTTTAGCTAGTTTCTCAAATTTACTGGTTCTGGAACTACAGAGATTGCCGTGTCACATATTTTGTGGAATTCATATATTATTATTATTTTTTAAATTTATGCTTAGTCTTAGCATATGCATATATTTCTGTTGTTAGTCTTTGGAAATAGTCCTATTACTAGTTATGTTTAGAATATTTTTAATTTTATTCATCTTTAATTACATATTTTATTTAATCATTTAGTGAGATCATGGTTTTGGTGTTCATGGCACTTTAAAATTTCTAAGGAAGTTCACAGTTTTTAACCTAATTTTCAGTGGTAGTGACATGCCAACAGCCCAAGGATATTGGTTCAATATCATTGAGTCAGTTTGGATTCTAGGAAAATACATGTTATAAGTATGCAGGAATAGAAAGCACACATTTTTAGTAGTCCTAGCTAGAGCTGCTATAATTAACCAAGAAAACATAAGAGAGCAGCTGTCAAGAAAGAAGGTATGAAATTGAGAGACTGGAGTCAAGAAAAAAGTTTTTACATCCAAAGAAGGATCTATATATTTCTTCTTTTGGAAGCTACACATATAGGTGAATAAAACATGAAAATACTGTACATACACTTCAGGAATTTAATTTAATTTCTTTAAGAGAGACTCGTTCACCTAATACACTTAAGGAATTTAAAAGATATTATTTGTGTCACCTCTGACATCCTATATGACTGTCAATTTTCTTAATCCTTCACATCTTCTAGTGAAAGAGAGAACATTATATCTTACTTTCTTATAATTAATACCATTGAGGTAATATTTATATAAAACTATTTACATTTAAAATGTCTCTGAAAAATAAGAAGCAGTGATAATGTCATTTATTAAGGCAAAGGAAAAATACATTTGTGAATTTGACAACATTTAGTCATTCATTTCATAATCATAATCTTGGAGGAATTGAAAAACAGAAAGACCTACTGTCACCTCACAAATGAAATACTTTGTTCATTGTGTTTTATTCTCCTTGAAAATCATTGCTGATATTTAATTAAAAATTACAAAACTGCTAGACATTCCAGTCAAAACTAGTTTCCTCTCTTACAAGCAGGCAGGTCAAAACTGACTGACATTTAATATTATTTGTTAACCATCGTTTTTTCTTAATAAACCCAAGAATCTTAAAAAACCAATACATAGCTGGTTAAACAAATTACTGAAAACATAGGACTCTGAATTTATGATTCAGCCTTTTCCACATAAATAATAGCACAAGCAAAAATAAAAAATGAATGAAACATGATTGCAAGGGTTTTAGAAATATACAATTTTTCACCTATGTAGGCATGTAGTTTATATCAACTATTAACAAATTGTTCATGACTTTAAAATGCCAAACATTAGAGTAGGATTAGATTGTGGAATTTACATGGTTAAACTGTAAGAAAGCACAGGATTGAGGTTGGAAATTTTACTGGAAAGAGTTAATTGTTTAGACTGTTGATTTAGGTATGTGAAAATGGGAAGAGGTAGGGTAATGGCTAAATAGGAACTAGAATATAAAATGTAAACATAGAGTTCAGTTGAAAATAGTGGTCAACAGAAGTGGCAGTAAGCACCCCAGAATTCCTCAGCTTAAAACTAAGAAACAAATCGACAAAATCTTTTTTACTTTAACCACAAAGAGAGCAAAATGAACAAAGTACCCATTCATATAAGACAACTATCACAGAAACAAAAGGAATGTCTTAATTCAAAACAAGGGCATTTGATTTTGATTCTTACTTACCAGAGATCCAAGGCAAGTATATTCATAAAGTGAGGAAATAGAGTCCTAAGAGATCAATACCCGGAATTTCATTGTTAGAAAAATTTGCACAATTTCAGAGGAATGAATTGGTGAAGGCTACTCTATCACATAAATACTATTCAAATAGCATTTATAGCGCATGCTGTGTTCTGCATCTGTTCATTGTTGATAGGGCTTACTGTCTATAAGGAATTATCACTGTGTAAAAGGAAAGAAACTTGCAGAGCAATGCAGTATCCGAGGAAAGACTGACAGCTTTGAAAGAGACCTGATAATGACGCAAGTAGGAACTTGCATGTGCTTGAAATAAGCATTGATTTAACAAAACAAAGACTCTATTCTGCACATGCTTTGGTAATACATATTCTTTGAGAACTTGGTTATGATGAGTTGAAATGGCCACTTGAACTAAATTCCCATGTTGAAATTTGTTTATCTTTCTTATCTGAAGCCAGAGCCAAAAATCCTAAAAGTTTTGAATGACGGTTTTGTGGTTCCAGGAATTGGGGCTCACCTATCTGCAGATACACCTGTTTCCTTTATGGCTGTATTATATTAAGTAAATGTGTTCTATTAAATGAATATAAAGCAGCCACTCCTATACTTTAGAATAAATACATGATTTGAGCCAGATGCAGTGGCTCATGTCTGTAATCCCAGCACTTTGGAATGTTGAGGAGGGAGGATTGCTTGTAGCCAGGAGTTCAAGAGCAGCCTGGGCAACAAAGCAGGACCCCACTTATATAAAAAGAAATTAAAAATTAGCAGACGCGGTAGCATGTGCCTTGTAGTGCTAGCTACTTGGGAGGCTAAAGTGGGAAGATCACTTGGGCCCAGGAATTCAGCATTGCAGTTAGCCATGATTGCACCACTGCACTATAGCCTGGGACTCAGAGAGAGAGCCTGTCTCTGTAAAAAATTAGTATAAATAAATAAATAAAAGACTTTTTCCACAGAGATATTCTGCTGTTAAGTAGAGAAATAAAGCTTGGTAGTTGGATTTATTTTATATGCCATCAGTTACTCTGAGTACAATATTTTTGTTCCAAGTTGTATTAATTATTTATGTTTTTAATGTGCTACTTCAATGTTAGCTATTACAAATAATAATCTTATTTTTGCCACTGCAGCATTTTAGCAGTTTCCACTTAAAAGATCTTTATAAAAAAGATAACACGCTAAAATTATATAAAGTATGCAAACTTACAATTTCCTCCTCCTGTTACAAGAGTCCCTCCTCCTATAACAAGAGTCTCTCCTCCTCCTGTTACAATAGCCCCCCCCTCCTATTTCAATATTTTAAGTAAGGTAATATGAATTTTAACAATCTGGCTGGGCACGGTGGCTCATGCCTGTAATCCCAGCACTTTGGGAAGCCGAGGCGGGCGGATTATTTGAGATCAGGAGTTTAAGACCAGCCTGGCCAACATGGTAAAACCCTATCTCTACTAAAAATACAAAAATTAGACAGGTGTGGTGGCGGGTGCCTGTAATCAGAGCTAGTCGAGAAGCTGAGGCAGGAGAATTGCTTGAACCCAGGATGCAGAGGTTGCAGTGAGCCAAGATCATGGTACAGCACTTCAGGCTGGGCGAAATAGTGTGACTCTGTCTCAAAATAATAATAATAAATAAATAAAAATAAAAATCTTAAAATTCATTTAATATACTAAGAACTTTTTCCTTAATAATCTATACCTATCTTGATACACAGTTACTTGGAGCAAGGTTTAGCAAACTATACCCTGTGGGCCAAATTTTTTTTAAGGCCAGCCAGCTAAGATTGGGTTTTACAGATGAACCTTTGCAATCTATTTGGTGATAGAGAATGCTGACTTTGCACCCCAACTAAGCAAAGTGTTAACCCAAATAAAGGATTCCATTCTTCTCATTAGTAGATCTATATTGCAAAAGATTACAGTATATACAATTATTGTGCAAAATAAATTATACTGAATTATCACATTTTAAAATTTATAATAAAAATTTTGTGGATATGTGCTTTGTCTTGTTAAAATGTACCTACATAATATCCTTGATTTTACTTCTTGGCATGTAAAACCTAAAACAGTTAATACTTGGCCCTTGGCAGAAAGAATGTGCTGACCCTTGATGCAAAATATTTTTTCCCATTCATTCATTTTTTTTAAATCACTTGCACATACATTCAGTAAATTGTTTCTGAGCAACTCTCATTTACCAGACACTGTTCTAGGCATAGGGGACATGACAAAGAGCAAGATTTAAAAAAAAAAAAAAAAATTGCTGCCCTCATGCAACTTATATTCACATTATCTACATTATCACCTCACAACTTCCCTTCATGGGAGGTGCCATTATTTCCATTCTATAGACAGATGAAGTGAGATTCAGTGAATTTACGTAGCTGGCTTGGAGTCTGTCAGTGAGAATTGAACCTAGTTATGCTTGACTCCGAGGCTTGAGCTTCTAACCAATGGGTAGAACTGGATTCATGGGCTGGGCTCAATGCTTGGTTTAATGGTCTACCATAACAATCTTGAAGTTCTTTATAGTTTTTGGACAAGATTTTGAACAACAAATACATTTTCATTTTGCATTACATTCCACAAATAATGTAGCTGGTACTGCCACTACCAAAAGTGGTTCTTCTCTCTCAGACTACATTCCTCCTAGGGCTGTTTTATAAAACACCCACATGAATTTATCTGTCTAGAAGCCTTGAAATCTATCAAGCACTTTAAAAACAGAAGCTATTATTAAGCAATGGTTTTATATTCTAGTCTACCAAAGACTAGAAGTTCCTTAAGGGCTAGGATTCTCTCTCACAGTAATATTTTGTGATTCCCTCTGCATCTAAAGCTTTTTTGAGAACATAGTGACTAAATAATTACAATTCTTCAATAAAATTAAATTATGTTAATATCTTAACTTTGTCAAAGGTAAGACCTGGCTCTGTCTTGGCTTAATTTTCTTCCATGGAAGAGCAAAATTTCTACCATCAATATTTTTCCTCTGGTCTGTGTGCATCTGTGAATTTTGAAACAGACTATGTATCTGAGACTCAAGAACTGACTTGTTCAAAGGAGATCTTTTTCCAGCAACCAGTGACTAAAACGTGTTGATAGCTTTGAAGAGTACTCCGAGTTTCACGGCACAAGTTTTATGGTGCTTATTAAAATAGCTGTTTTGTCTCCATTTCATATCTTGCAGCCAAGTCATTGCTGGATAAGCGAGATGGTAGTACAGTTGTCAAGCAGCTTGACTGATCTTCTGGACAAGTTTTCAAATATTTCTGAAGGCTTGAGTAATTATTCTATCATAGACAAACTTGTGAACATAGTGGATGACCTTGTGGAGTGCGTGAAAGAAAACTCATCTAAGGTAACTTTGGGTTCATTGGGATTGTTTTTCATTATCCTTCTCTAAAAACTCATGCTTCTTGGTGCTGTTGGGGAAAATGGGGCACATTTATTTATGAGATTTTGATTGGTTGAACTTCAAATTTACGAATCTTCTAAGATTGCAAAAGTTGAGCAAAGGAAATAAGTATTTGTAGTTATACTGCAATACTTAATGTGCGTTCAGACTTAAATATTGTCTTCTAATATAAAAATACCACTTATTTACATTACAATGCAAAATAAGCCCTGCCTTTTTCTTTATTTTCCATAAGTGAAGTCCTGAAAATCTTCCTATTAAGTTACAAATGTTCATTGAAATGGAAAATTGTAATAAACATATCCCTGTCCTTTTATCCATAACGTAATTACCCCATAGGTCACAGCAAAGAAATACATTTTGGCTCCTCAAAGTCATTGAATAACTGGTCATCACCAACTTCAGGATAAGGCATGACATATGGAATAGGCAATGTACTCCAGAAAAAAAGAGTGAGATGTTGGAGTTTAAATTCTGGTTCTGTCACTAATGAATTTTGTAAGCATAACTTCTTTGTGCCTCACTTTATCTTTAAAGTGGAGACAATGCCAGAATTCCTCTAGTAGGTTTGCCATTAAATGATGTGTGATGAGTACTTTAACACCATACCTAGTAAAATAAGTATTAATACATTTTGTCATTTTTTTCATCACACTTTGTTTACAGCAGAATCTTGCTTAAGAGATCTGATTTGGTATACAGTTCAAATGGCCAATGATTAGCTTAGGAGACTTCTATAAGTTTAAATCCAAAATTTTAAACAGAATTCTGTACCTTAATACCTAAATGCTTTTTCCTGTGTCCCTTCTAAATTCCGGCTATTCTTCAAGACTCAACTTTAATCCTATTTGTGCTCTCCAATCTTTTTTTTTTTTTTTTTTTTTTGAGACGGAGTTTCGCTCTTGTTACCCAGGCTGGAGTGCAATGGCGCGATCTCGG